TTGGCCTTGAGTAGGCCGCTAGTCACCTCTCAACCTTTCTTCATTAAAAGAAACAGGAAAAAATACACCTCTTGAAGCCATAGTATGCAGATTCTCTATATATTTGGTGTATGCAGCTCCCTACAACTACATGACTCAGAGAGAGTTTTATTTTTAGCCGCTGCAGACCTGCTGGTTTCTCTTCTGGTCTAACTTAGCTTCTCACTCATTCGCTCATGAACAGCTTCCTGACAACTAATCATATGATTCTTGGTTGGCTGAGGATGTTTGTCTTTGATAACTGGTCTGTCCTCCGCAGCTTCACTTGTTAAAAAATATCCCCTCAGATCCAGTTCATCTACACACTCCTGGAACCCAGAGCAATACAGAGAGTACTCAGAACAGGTATCAGATACCTTACTTTCAAAACATGCAGGCATCCTTGTAAATCCCTGCTTTTACACTGATTCTTATTATTTCAAATAAAAAGACAAATCTTTGCACAATGCCCCTGTTTTTGGTCCTGGCTCTGTCTCCATGTACTGAATCTTATTTGCATGTATCTATGTTTTCCCATCAGAGCAACCACTGGGCTCCCCTTACAAATCCGTTTTAACAATAGTCACTTCTGCAGCCACAACTTAGTGTCATCAGTAAAATGGGACTTGCTGCTTTTTGTCCTGATAATTAGCTCAGCAAAAAAAATGCTTGAATGAGGAAGGAAGAAGCTCAGTGGGGAAAGGAAAGACTTTCAGCATCAGACTGTGAATTGAAGTGAAGTGAAGATTTTATTTGCATGATGGAGGTCTGTTTGTTCTGAGGTGTGCGGTTTGGGTCCTTAACCAAAAGGGAGCCCTTCAATTCCAGAAGCCTTTTACTAGCAACTCCCTGGAGAAGCTACTGAACTACCTGCTGAGACTCTCTGAGAAAGCACAGAAGAACAGGTTTGTCATTTTGGTCCAGTATGCTCACTGCTCATCCTCTGGGTAAAGGGGTCTGAGATGGTGCAGATTCTGAGAGGAAGCAGAATGAAATGAAAGGGAGGTGGGAGATAGAGGGAAAGAGCGAGAGAGAGAGAGAGAGGGGGGCTGGTGTGGAGAGAGAGAGAGTGTCAAAGAAAGCAGGATAAAGGGAGAAAACACAGGGGATGAAAGAAAGCACACTGCAGTTTTGTTTGAATTGTTGAATGACAGCAGTAACAGTGGTGTTAAAATTGTTTCAGAGATAGTAGGAACTGCAGATGCTGGAGAATCTGAGATAACAAGGTGTACAGCTGGATGAACACAGCAGGCCAAGCAGCATCAGAGGAGCAGGAAGGCTGACGTTTCGGGCCTGGACCCTTCTTCAGAAATCTGGTTCCGTAGGCAGGTACTAAGAAAGGTGATGTGGCTGTAGTACCTGGTTTGCTTCAGGACGTGGCCGAGCAGTTTCAAGGCCGAAGAGATTACGAGAGAGTTGCAGTGGGAGAGAGATCCACTGAGGTTTTTCCCGAGGGAGGAGGGTAACTTCTTCAGGGTAGGCATCCTTAGAAGAGGCTTCGCAGTGAGGTTAAAATTGTTTCAGAGATAGTAGGAACTGCAGATGCTGGAGGATCTGAGATAATAAGGTGTAGAGCTGGATGAACATAGCAGGCCAAGCAGCATCAGAGGAGCAGGAAGGCTGACGTTTCGGGCCTAGACTGACGTTTCGGGCCTAGACCCGGTGTATATGCAAGTGTGAGCGTATGTGCCATATGTCTGTGTGTGTCTGTGTCTGTGTATGTTTATGTCTGCCTGTGTGTGTGTGTGTGTGTGTGTGTGTGTGTATGGCTCTGTGCCTGTATGTGACTTTGTGTTTCTGGGATGTCTGTGTATGTCTTTGTGTCTGTGTGTTTACGTCTGTGTGTGGGGGGGTGTGTGTGTGTGTTTGTGTGCTTATGTGGTATGCCTGTGTGTGACTGTGTGTGTTTGTATGTGTGTGTGTATGTATGTGGGCTGATAATAAGGGGAAATGTTCCATAAGCTGTTGGTGTAGACTATGGCAATTTTAGGAGAAGGCCAACTGAGACTTTTCTCATGGTTAATCTCTGAATCAAATTTAGAAGCAGTTTATCAAGGGGAATGGATGCAGTGCTGACTGAGTACAGTCCAGTTTGAAGGCAAGCAATTCAACTGGATTAAGCCTAATTCCAGGAAGCATCACATGACAATGCCAACCAATGCCTTGATATAACACAGGGTTTACAACGAGTCCCTGCGTGAGGTTCCTCAGTTTGTTACTATTTCCCAAATTGTCAAGCTCCTGGGTGAGGAAGAATGAACTGGATCCCCTTCTTTATGCACCCGTCATTCCCAGTTGTTCAGAACAGCGTTAACTACAAAATATCCCCTCTTTTGTGGATACCTTCCTCCGTGATTAAATGAATTTGTTTTTTTAAAAGGAGCTCATTGAATCAGGCTTTACTGAGTAAACAAAAGAGTGCATTTATTAATTATTGAATGTGGGAATAAATCACAACACAACAGTCATATACACAGACTAGAAATGAGTCTGAAAAGAAAATATTAAATGAAATATAGTTCAGTCTCTGGGTTGTTTGTGAAGAATAGATTGTGGAGCACCAGAGCTGAGCAGTTAATTTTGAGACTCTTGACTTTGCAAGTTGATTGAACGGGCTTTCTACCAGCTCTCACAGCAAGAGAGTCCTTATTTGTCCTGTTTCCTTTTGAACAAGCTTTCTAATTGGCTCCCAGCCTGCAGAGTGCAAGGGTCTTTCACCTACATCACCAAGGCGATTAGTGAATGGTTCAACGACAGTGGCAGTGCTCAAACACAGGCTGGTACACCGAGTAACCTCACACCACTGGCTCAAACACAGGCTGGTACACCAAGTAATCTCACACCACTGGCACAAACACAGGCTGGTACACCAAGCAATCTCACACCACTGGCACAAACACAGGCTGGTACACCAAGCAGCCTCACATCACTGGCACAAACAAACTCCTCAGATTATCAGCAAACACAGATCGGGGTCAAAACTTTTTTTCAACCTTTGTTATGGTGTCTGCTTGAAAGGGGAAAACGCTAAACACCTAAACTCTAAACTATCTATACTCTCTCACCTAGACTGTTGTCTTTACTTGCATCTTGTTCACAGTTTGAGATAACTCCTGGGACATCACAGCTCGGCTTATGGTGCAATTTTCCCTTTGAAGCTTCCTTGACACTTTAATGTGTGACATTCTAGATTTCCTCTCCATGCCGCCACTGAATTTGTATTTGCAGTCACTTTTTTAGCTGTATATCCTCTTTGTAAGGAATATATATTGAAATAAATGTTCATAGGTGACTTGAGGTTATCAACATGGTCATGACATTGGCAATGGACGCATATCTACTATTACCTGATCCAGTTGTCACAATGGGACATTGTTAAGATAGGCCAACACCAACTATACATTACCTGTGACTCCCTCTGTTTGTGCACAATGCATCAACAACATCCTCCACATCTTCCTCAGCTTTAACCTATTGCAAGATCTCTGTCTGCCCATGCTTCTCTCTTCACTCATTTTTTGCCAAAACCTTTCTTGGCTGCATACCTTCCTCATCCAGTAAATTTTCCTCATTCCTGTTGGGTTTGAATTCCTGTGAATGCACTCAGTCGGCATTCGAAAACAGACAGGCAGCTGCTAACCGCAAACTGGAGGCCTACTCTGAAACAAAAACAGAAATTGCTGGAACAGCTCAGCAGGTCTGGTTACATCTGTGCAGAGAAATCAGAGTTAACGTTCCAGGTCTGGTGACCCTTCCTCAGAAAGACTCTGAAACCTTGGGCTTGTCTGAGAGGGTTGAAAGCTGCCCGAGCGTACCAGTGTTGCCCAGTTTTGTGAACAATTGTCATACGTTGTTAAACTGAAAGTGTCGCCTGGTGGCGGCCCAGACAAAATCCTGCCCTTTGTACCTTCTACTCTGAATGGAGCAACCAAAACTATTGAAGTTGGCACCATCCAAATGAGTTCATATAGTTCTAGAATCATATTTCGGCACTTGATGCCGTATTCCTTTTCGTTTCTCCATCTGCTCAACCTACTTCAGAATATTTCTGCTTAACACTAACCTTGCAAATACAGATTCAGTGCAAACATTCTTCATTATAATTCTCTTACACTCATTTCCTTTTCTATGGTCTACACTCAAAGCACCTTGGTTTGGTCAGGTCCGTTGAAAGGGCAGCTGGCTTGTGACACAAACAACACAAGTTCAATTACCGGCTGAGATTACTGTAAAAGTCCTGTTTTCTTTATCTTGCTTGAGGCACAGTGACTCTCAGATTAAACCCACCATTAAACTCATTTGTCGCTCTCTAATGAAAGAGCAGATCTCTGCGACTATAGCGACTTGAGTAGAAACAATTTGCTTCTGTTTGCCTTGTCCCATCCTTTCATAATTTTAAACAATTCCATCATATTACACAAAAATTTCACTGAGGACAACTGCAAACAAAAAAAATACAATTCTCAGGATAGGCCAAGAACTACAATACTCACCCTCACCATTCATCTTCCCTGCAACCCACTCTTGGGTACGTCCCCTTGACATGCAAGAAGCGGCTATAAGGTTCAAAGTAAACTTTGGGTTCTGAAGAAGAGTCATACTGGAATCAAAATGCTATCTGTTTCTCTCCCTCCACTGATGCTGCTGGACCTGCTGAGTTTCTCCAACACTTTCTGTTGTTCATTCAGATTTGCACCATCTGCAGTATTTTGCTTTTATTGTTAGAACAGAAGATTCACCTTTGTTCTCTGTTCCACAGGACAGAAAGAGCAATGAATCATGAGCCTTATGTAACTAGATTCTGCCACAATTTCCTATCTCCTCTGATGGAAAAGGGGGTCCTTCTTGTTGTGGGAATTCTAAAACGTTTCTGTCCCTCTCTTTGTTTTGTATCTACTGCCTTTCATCTCCTGCTTTTACTACTGTTGTCCACCTTCCCATTTAGATTCATAGAGTTGGGACTTTTTTCACTGGAACATAGGAGGTTGAGAGGTGACCTGATAAAGTCTATAAAATAATGAGAGGTATAGATAGATTTGATGGTAGTTGTCTTTTCCCTAGGATGGAGAATTTCAAGACTAGGGGGCACATTGTTAAGGCAAGAGGAGAGAGATTTGAAAAAGACATGAGACAAATTTTTTACACAAACGGTGGTTTGTGTGTGGAATGAACTTCCTGAGGAAGTGGTAGATGTGGGTACAATTGCAATGTTTAAAAAACATTTGGATGGATACATGAATAGGAAAGGTTTGGAGGGATATGGCCAGAAGCAGGCAGGTGGGACTAGTTTAGTTTGAGATTATGTTAGGCTGGTTGGACTGAAGGGTCT